GATATTAATTTACAAAAGCAGATTTGCCAAAGAAATGATGCCCTTGAAAGACACAGCTAAAGAAAAAGTATCGCATCTTATGCGAATCATTATATGTTATCTTAAGGAAAAACATCTCTCAAAGAAAGTATTGTCAACAGTTTTCAGTTTTTATTAGAACATTTTTTTACCAATAAGTGCTCTCTTTTATACACTGCTGTCTATAAAATGCTATTCAATGGGTAGCCATGGTCATAATAACAACAAGGAGTATTCTTTCCTCAATAGAAAGCTTTCATTTAATCAGAAATTAACAGGGCCATCAGTGGACAGGATCTAAAACCACCAATTCAACTCCACCAAGAAGACATGAAAAAAACAGAAGAACAAGCAAAAGAAAAGAAAGATTGAGAGGGAGCGAGAGATAGAAAGAGAGAGGAAATTAAAAAATGATCACATTCATATGACTCAGCATGCAGAGTGTTTTGATATCCAAAGAGCATGTACAGTTTCAGCAGGGGGTCTAAGAGATGTGTGTAGATGTGTGGATGTGTGTGTGTGTGTTTGTGTGGGAGGACAATTGAGTGCTGGAATTGAACTTCAATTCAATTAGGCTATTCTCATTTCCATAGCGTCCCCATGTTCGGTGTTTGTAGCTGCATGCAGGGGGCCTGAGTGCTTCTTTTATTTCCGCCTGGCGGCCATTCTTCAAGTGCCTAATGAATCACAGAGCTAGGCTGGTCCTGGAAGGGCCTTTTTTTTGGTAATAAATAAATGCAGCAAACCAGAATGCTCACTATGGCTCGTAGATTTACTGTGAAGTTGGCAAGAAATAAAAGATAAAGATACGAGAACAGAAAACTGGCAACAAAGAAATCAGCAAAGGATGCGCAGTTGAGCATAGATGCATGTGAGGACAGATGGACGTCAGGCAGAGACGGTGACTCAAGCCCAGTTGACCAGCATATTATAGTTAACTGAAACGACTACTAAAATAATAACTAGAAGCCAGAAACTGTGCTTGACGGAAAACGCACAAAAATGAAATCAACACTAATGTCCATTGCTTTTTTTTTTGTTGTTTTTTTAGACGTGGATCCCTTCTGTGTTTGTCTGTCTTAAAGGAAAGCTGAAGCCAAGCTAAGCTCAGTTTTATTCTACCCTTATTAAATATCTACAATGCTGTGAAACATTTTCTCAGTTTCTTCTATTCGTGGCTTATTTCTCACACTTGAATGTTTCAGTTCCTCAAACTACTTTTAATATATATACAAAGATAATCCAAGTAAACACAAAAGGCTGTTCTTAACTTATGATTTCATTTATTGAAGGAAAAATGCTGTTCAGTCCTACGTGGCCCTATGTGAAAAAGTAATTGCCCCCTTGCCTACCAAATCGACCAGTTAACCAAATTCAATTGACCACTGGGTTCAATTTCACTAGCCACAACCAGGCATGATTACCGCCAGACCTGCTGAATCTAAACATCACTTAAACTGTCTGGCAATGTGAAGCAGGCTAGAAGGTCTCAAAAAAGCAGCATATTATGTTCTAAAGAGATTCAAATGCAGATGCAAAAAAAGCACAAAAGTCTTTGAAATCTATGAGTCTGGAAAGGGTTAGGAAGCCATTGGTAAGGCTCTGGGCCTCCAGTGAACCACACTGAGAGCAATTATCCACAAACGGAGAAAACCTGGAACAGTGGTGAACTTTACCAGGAGAGGCCAGCCTACCAAAATTTTACCAGGAGCGCATCGACGACTCATCCAGGAGCTCATAAAAGAACCCAGATGAACATCTGAAGAACTGCAGGTCCCACTTGCCTCAGTTAAGGTCAATGTACAGGATTCCATAATAAGAAAGACACTGAGCAGAAATGGCATCCATGGGAGAGCTGCAAGGCTCAACCAAGTGCTGACCAAAAAGACCACAAAGGCTTGTCTGACACATGGCTGATCTTTATCTTCAACAAATTGAATGATTATTTAAAAGCTGCACTTTGTGTTCACTCATATTAAATTTAGGTGGATGACCTAAAACAAATGTGACAAATTAGCAAAAATAGAAGAAATCAGGTGCAGGGCAAATACTTTTTCACAGCACTGTACTATCACAGCATTCATCATAACACTAAAAACTACAATAATTGAAAGTAAATAAAAACTAAACTATTACTTCTCAAAAAATAAAAACAAAAGAAAACTATTAATGCACTAAATGAACTAATGAACTAAAACTAACATGAAATCAAAAACCAAAATAAAAAACTGAACAAAAATAAAAACTACTGGACTTTTAAAAACTATGATAACCCCGGCTAATAAGTTGACTGACTTACGACTCAGACTCAAGACTTCTGACCTTTTTTTAAACCACGCCGTTATTAAAGGAAAGAGACACAACAACTTGAAATTGTTGGCTAAACTGGATAGCAAGTAAACCAGCAAGCACAGAAGCTAAAGTCAATAGCTTCAGCTGGATTAGCTATCATGGTAGCTAGCTAGTATACTTCCAATAAATAGTATTTAATTAACGTCACGTTTATCACCGCCACCATTTTTTTGACATACCAACAGTCAGAGAGGTGATATCAGCAGCAACAGCGGCCCTCGTAGCACCACTGGTCAATTAACCTTCCTGATAGATAAAATACAACCATGGTGTGCTCTGTGGTTCATGGCTGTTTTAACAACAGCAACAAAAATCTAAACAGTGGAAGCTCTTATAGCATCCTGGCTGTCTGACGTTGGGAGGGCAAAGAGGATGAAGAGTTGAGCCATGCCTTGTGTGAATAAACAGGAAAAACTTTCAGCCATCTCCTCATAACGTTACCAAAGTCGCTTTCATCAGTTTGTCACAGGTAGACAGTAAGATGAAGGATGAATCTGCAGTTTTGCTTGTGTTGAAAATGACACACTGTTGACAGGTGACAATGATTGATGATTGACTTATGCAGTCTAACTATTTATGTCTAGATCTCTGATGCTTTAGCTAGACAATAATTGCAGTTGAGCCAACATTAGCAGGGCTCACGTAACTCAAGCTAACAGTAAGTCAACAATGAGTTACCTCAAAAAACATAAATACGTTGCTATTACTCACTTTTGTGATCACAATGATATTTGATGATGTAGCTGATGGTACAAAAGACTATTGCTGACCCTTCCAAAGACCAAAGAAATGATTTTAGTGATGCCAGCTCCTGCGGTGTGCAGGCTGACGTGGTATTTAAAATGATTAAAGGTGTCTGAATATGTTATCATGGGCAATAACGCATAATCAAAACATAAAGATAACCTATCAGTGATCAACTGTTTTTTTCTTGATATCTTGAAGTGGAAGCCATAGCTTTGCATTGACGGCTAATACATATTATGCTGAATGTCAACAATACGGCTGTGGGGCGCTTCTTCTGGGTTTTGCTAATGCTATATATACAAACTACAGACTAACCAACTGTTTCAAGCTATTTTGCCTCTTTACTTTAAACATCGCATTTACTGTAGGGACGTGCATTCAAACAAATTTCGATATTTAAGTATCAAGAAGAGTTGGAAGCTTACTCTTTTAGGTGTTAGCTCTGATGTTAACATAGCACAAAAAAAGAGCAGCAATCAAAGAAATACATTTGAAAACTTGTTTTATAAATAAAAAAAAAAAAGCTGAGGGAAAGTGGTAGTTTTTGTGTTGGATGAGTAACGGAGGCTGCCCTTTCAGATGAGCTAAAACTTCAGCTGCATTACAAGAGGTACAACACTAGATGGTGATGAGGACTCATTGTCTTCTCCTCAGTGGAGGACGTGGCAACATGTTAGCTGGTCTGAGAAATATATTTCCACTGTTTCTAGATTTGGTCAACATCAGTTAGGGTTGTTAGCCCGAAGTCGTACTACATCAGCCTCCTCAATTACACCCTTAACAACGTGTCCTTGGCATTGTGCATATATTGAGGCACTTCCATTATGGAGTGGCATAATGTAACACTCACAAATACAAGCATAACTGTAACAAGTTACAGTCCAGTTGAAACATAAAATTTGCCATTATTTGAATTGTTAGTCTTTGTTTTTCTGTCTCCTTGTGATGAAATGAGTACCTAAATAGTCATTTCAATATTCGAACACTGGTAGCTCAAAGTACTCACAACCTTCTAAGGATCTTAATTTACTGAGTGTAGCACTTCAGTTCTGCCCTTCAGGCTGAAGATTTTCCTATAATGAAAATCGCGACATTTGAAGCAGGTCAATCCTGAAAAAGATTTTAGTGAAGGTTTGCTTTTGTACAACGCAGAGCCCAAACTAAAATTCTCTACTAAAGACTCAAAACTCAATTCGCACCCCGGAGCCCCGAGCCTTGACTTGGACTTGCACTAAATATATTACAAAACTCCCTGACAAGTCATTAAAGCGTGAAAAGTGAAGTAAAATTTTGAGTCTAAATTCAAACTGTTGGACATCCACCATTCCGAAGAGTTTCAATAATGGTCAATAGATCCTGCCCTACGTCCCCCCTGCTGGTTTAGATCAACAATGGTTTAAATGCTTCTGGAGATCTGCTGTTTCACAGAGTTTAGATCTAGCTCTGCCAGCATAGATTCACAGAGCTTAAATGCAATCATGTGTCTGGTGATCTAATGCCTTCAAAGGATGATGTGTGCTTCAGATTTTGTTCCTAGATATCTACCCTGCAGATCTAAGGTCAGAGGTTGGGTCCAGATAATGGAAAACCAGTAACCTGCAGCAATCACATCAATTTAACTTTGTTTCTGCAGATCTTCTGTTGCACAGAAATGAAGGTGAAATGGAACTTTGCTCTTGGAGATTCGCCACCCTGCCGAGATTAGCTAGCCTTGGAGCTCTTCAGTTCGGACCCATCCCAGTTCTTGGAAATCTACTGACCTGCTTAAAATGCATTTGTCTGGGGATAAACCTAAAGTTACAGAGTCAGAACCTCTGGGGTATAAAGGCAGGACACAGATGGATGAAAGAAAGGGCGGTACAAATGAATAGACAGCTACTGACCCCCATGACCTCCTTGAGTAATCTGGCAGCCTGGCTGGTGGCATTAAACATGTTTCTCCAGTCGAACGATGGCACTCCCACAGGCCGGTCCTTCTCATCCCCATTAAACAGGAAGCTGGCGATCAGAGCTGAAGAAAGTTGGGTTCCATTCAGCTGCTGGTCCAGAGCTGCCACAAACAGAGGGTTCTGCAGGAGAGTCTTTAGGATGCAAAACAGAACATGCAGGCCATTATTTAAGAGAATCAAAGCAGCAAGTGATTCAAAGTTTCAAGTGATAGCTTGTCTTAAAATCAATTTTACTCAGTTTCCCCTTCCCCCCAAAATGTAAACAATTAGCTAAGATGTCTGAGGGCTGCATCAAGATGATTCTTATTGCTGCTTTAAGTTGTATGATGTACTTTTGTCCATATAGATGACAGTACGTCATACAGTGAAAGAAATTAGGTTAGAGATTAACCTAACAACTCAACACGGCTGGAGCCATGTGTGGCCCTGTTCACACCTGGCATTGACAGGCATCTTGGGTGATCCAATGATAAGTGGACGGTGCTAAGAATAAGTGTAAATATTGTCCAATGTGTCTTGGAGATGCTTTGAAATCTACTCAGACCACATTCGGAGGCGGCCGCACAGCATCTGCAGTGTTAACGCTAAAGCATCCCACTGCATTCCCAACAGAAATGAAGAACCACCTATTCAAGTGCATCAGCACTGCAGAAGTCTAAGACCACCCTTCGTTTATTAAAATTCCTAGTGAAAAAGGTATTCGTTCAGATATTTCTGATGAGATCAGAAAAAAGGATAATCCACTTTCATAGCAAATGTAAGTGAAGAAAAAGGAATATCCAATATCTGTTCAAAAATTATTCAAAGACACAGAGAAAATGCGACACAAAACAACCGTGCAAGACCTGGGAGACCACCAACACTGTCCCCATCAACGTATATGAAAATGAAAAATGTATATGATATTTAGTTGTTGGACCTTCTGTGTAATTTCCAGTATGTTTTCTGTTTTTTAACTGTGAAAATTTTTAAAAAGGTGTTTTTAATGACAGTTTTGACTGGAAATGAAACAAATGATGGGTGGTCTCTGACAATTGCACAGTATAAAATAAGAGGCAAGCTTAGGTTTACCTATACACAAACCCCAGCAGGATCTCTGATGTTGTTTTCAGCTAATAAAAGAGAGTCTTATTGTCATGATTGAGCCACTGGGAGAAAGAGAAAGAGCTCCAAATGACAATGCACCTTAAAGAAGAAATAAATGGTTACTCAGGAAGAATGGAAGTCCTTCCGGCAATCTACCAGCATTTTCAGTGTCATTAAAGTCGATCTGCTGCTTACCTTTCATTCTCCCTCTCTCTCTCTCTATAATCAATTAGGAACACTAAGCTAGATGGCACTGTTTCCCTTCAGCGCAGCAAGAAACAAACACCCCTTCGCACACCCGCACTGCCGCTCTCTTCCTTTTGTAGATTCCGCTCCCTGTTTTCTCCATTATCATTCCACTTTACATGGGCTACAAGGAAACAACTGGATGCTGCGATGGCAAGAATACAACAGGACCCTCGTTCTCTCATGTGTATACGCACAGGCGCCTGATTTATAACATGACCGATCCAGCTGGCTGTGAATGAGTTAATGAAAAGATATGCTAATTTATATGCAAATAACCCTGCTGTTTCAAGTGCGCGCCCCACAATATGAGCGATTGTGTCTGTGTGTGTGAATGAGCATAATCATGTAGAACAATGCCACAGTTACCTAATCGCTCCTCCAGCACACACACATACACACACACACACACAGGCATAATCACACAGGTGTGAAGGGAGTGCTTCTGTCATTTCTGAGCTGATTAATGATGCCTGAGGCTGATCCATTATGAATGTGATCACATTATGAGATGACATCATGCTGGAGTGTGCGCGAGATGCCCAATCAGGAGCTCCACAGAGAAATAACAGACTCAGGAAGGATCATACCTGGAATAATAATAATGTAATATTTTTTAATAATACAGTCTTCTTTCTAATCTGATAGCACTGCTGCTTTGATTCTTTAGTCAAAGCCCAGAGTGACATGAATGAACAACCATTAAAGGGCCCATAGCATGCAAAACCAAATTTCCCTCGTTTTTTGAAGTAAAAGAGTTTGATGTAGTATGTCAACATGTTTAATTTTTAAAATGTACTGTTCACTCTCCACCCCATGTAGTCCATATATGGAAACTAAGCTGAAACATAGCCCGTTTTGTGATGTCATGAAAAACCAAATCATTCACAAATATCTGTCTATTCAGCCAGAATCAGTTTAGCTGTATCTGTTCACACTGAAGTTATAAGTAGTGTTTTAGCCTGGACTGCTTTCTGAACAAAGTACAATAGAGGGCAGCCAATCAGAGCAGAAGTCATACAGTTTTGGTGGTCTAACAGGTCTTGCATGGTTATTATAAGTTCCATTTTCTCTGTATCCTTTAATAATTTTTTTTATCTCTAGTTCAAAAAATTCCTGTTTTTCCACTTATGTTCCCTTGACTTTCATCTCCCTTACGCAAATGGATTATCTTATCCAATCTCCTCAGAAAAATCTCCTTTAGTCAATTTTAGATGCTCATGAGAAAGAGACCTGAAGGTAGCAAAGGTGAGTTTGGCTACTCACGAAAAAACTGAAACACTGATCTTTGGTACTAAAACTCTGCTTTATGAGATACTCGACTCTTTAGCTTTGTATACCAGACCTGAAGTATGAAACCTGGGTGTGATCTCAGACTCTGAGTTCTATCCCGCATATAAACACAGTCACTAAAGTAGCTTTTTATCATGTGAGAAATATCGCTAAAGTTCAGCCTTTTCTATCTCAGAGCAACGCAGAAAAACTCGTTCATGCATTTGTTACAAGCAGAGTTGATTACTGTGATGCTCTTCTTACTGGACTTCCTAAGAAAACAATACTTCCTCTACAACTCGTACAAAATGTGGCAGCACAGACCCTAACAAAAACATAACAGAGAGATCATATCACTCCTGTTTAGAAAGAACTGCACTGCCTGTATCTTTGAGGATAAATTTTAATGTTCTGATCCTCGTTTTTAAAGCTCTAAATGACCTTAAAGCACCACTTACATCACAGAGTGTCTGTCTGTTTCAGCATGAGACCTTAGATCTGCAGATACTGACCTTCTGTAAAAACCTTCAATACAATACAGAAGACGTGGAGAAGCATCTTTCAGTTGATATGCTTCTAAACTGTGGAACTCAGTTCCACCTTCTATTAGACAGTCAAGCTCAGGGCTCACTTTTAAGAAACATTTAAAAATACATCTGTTTAACTTAGCGTTTAATTAAAACTCTACATCTCTTGGTATTTATCTCTTTAATTTGATCTATGTCATTGTCTAATATGATTTTAAATTAACACTCATAATTTCTTCTATTACTGTTAAGCCTGTCTGTAAAGCACTTTGAGCTACCACTGGCATGAAAAGTGATGTATAAATAAAGATTCTTCTTCTCCTTCTTCTTCTTATTATTATTGTGTGAATTTTAGTGTCTCTTTGAAGGGTAACATAATATCAGTGTGATCTTTGTGGAGCAGCTTTTGAGGATGCAGCTGTAGTTGGCTACAGTCAAACTTGGTGAAGGACGTGTCTTCTGAGGATGTACGTAAATAATCTACTATTGTCTTCATATCTCCATCAGAATAATGTTGATTTTGCATTTGAGGTCTAAACATTGAGCTGGACCTTCTTTCTGAGCCTGCACTTGTGACGTTGACACATAAAGACGTATGATATGGTCCAAAAAATTGCAAAATATGACCCGATGCCTCCGACTTTTAAATGGACTATTTCAGGCTTTACAGGGCGACTCAGAGCAGTATCAGAACTACAGATTATTGTCAGTGTTTTTTACTCAGTAATGCTCCTTTCAATTTGAACAAAAATGACTTTGACAAATGAACAACATCATTAATGGATTTATGACTGGAAAAGGAATAAACATACAGGTGGTCTCTGACTTCTGCATAGAAAATGTCTCGATTTCTATGATGAGGTTCTGTTTAAAAGGTGCTAAATTCCCATTTATATCCATTCCCTGATAAGTGTGGACCTGCAGACCACAGGTTTCATTTCTCTACCAGGGGTTTAAAGGATTTGGTTTAAAGTATGAAAATGGCTACATTTAGTAATGTTAATCTCCATTCATTAACACAGCAAAGATAGCACAGGATCGCTGGTGGAAAATTCATCCATTAAACGTTTCATTATTCTTCTGTAACAGCAGGGAGGGAAAATATGCTTCTATCAAATATCAAACACTGTTTTATTACTGCGGGCATAGCTACCTGCAGAACTGCCCAAAATAATTAAACCAGAGACAGAGAGAGAGAGAGAGAGAGAGAGAGAGAGAGAGACAGAGAGAATATTCACAGGAGAAAATTACAACAGAGGGAATAGTCTCACACATCTGTGTAAAGGTTATGCTGAGGGTAATGAGCAGCCAGGCGATGAGCACAGATGACCATGTTGTCATTGGAAGAGAAAGACAGCAGCGTCACCATGAGACATTTCAGCCAATGACACATCTGCGTGTTCACCATGTGACCGTTCTGAGGCATTAGCTTAACGTCCTCTCTCGACCCTGCTGAGGAATTCATCAGTGTTGTAGAGATAGCAGTCTGAAAAGATGCGACAGCTTCATACGCATCAAAGGAGACATAAGCAGCCTCTGCCCTCTGAGAGAGCAGATAAAGATACTGGACTGTGAACATAACTCACTTTAACACTATTCATTTCTACACCGGACACTTTAATAGAAACACCTTGTAGCTCCACTTCGCTGGTGCGCAGCTAGTAGCTCATGTGTTGGTGTACACTGTGTTAGTCATGCTGTAGGCCTTCATCAGTGGTCAGTTTTTGATCACAGAGCTGTTCTTTTCTGGATATTTTTGGGTTTTGGTCCACTTTCAACCAAACAGTGACACTCTGAATTCAGCAGTGTCTGATCCAACAGCAACACGCACTCTACTATGTCAGTGTCGTTGGTATGCTGAAAATGATCCACCATCCAAATATCTGGTCAGCAGCGACCCTGTGGTCAGAAACTGACCAACGATCAATGGGGTAGAGGCAGAGCTTTAATCGACCTGAAAAGTTTGAGAAAGTCCTGTCCTGTCCAAAATCATCAAGTTTTGATTCCAAAATTGACCCGAGCTCAACAAAATTCTGTCTGAAACTGACCCCAACTGGCCAATCATCAAGCAAAGTCTTGAAAAAAATAGATATTTGAAATGATACCACTGTTTAGCTTTCAGCATAACAACAGTAATAGCTGTTGCCAATATAGCACAAGGTTAGCCTTCACCTGTTTAATCCTGAAGCACTTTGCAAAGAACTAATTACATGAAAACAAATTTTGTCCCTACTTTCCACTACTTCCACCAGCTGAGGCTGTTCCTTTATTCTTGTTACAAGTGGTCTCACCTAGGAGTGGACATGTGGCAAAAATATGATATCAAAAAGTACATTTTCACAATACACAATATGCATAACTCTATTTACTTTGTCTTAGGTTCCTTAAGTTGAAACAGACAAAATAGATATAATAATAATTCTATGATTACAGTGATTTTAATACAATGTTTAATAAACTGCATTGTACTAAATCCAACTAAACAGGCCTAACTGTGCTCACTTGCAAAGAAATATGTAGTTGGCCAGTGTTCTTAAAGTACTGATGATATCCACGATGCACTCGGCAAAGCGAACTGTTATATAATTTATCTCAATAGCGATAAAAACTTGTATTGCCAACCCTTAGTTTAAATTCAATCATTACAAATGTGGTCACCAGTGTAAACTCTATGAAAGTGGATTTCATGGTGCATGTCCTGTTTTTTAAATTGCCTCTGATGAAGCCTGTGCAGGCCGAAACATCGTGACCATTTAAATGTTATAAGTTAATAACGTGTTTCATAAAGAGCGCGAGTTGAGTCTTTTTGCTTCTTTGTGTCTCACTTTTTTTCCAAGGCACCAGCTCATTTTGAGCTATTTGAGCCCAACCTAATGTTTTGTGTGGCCAAACAAACTAAACATCAACATGTGTCTGGCTGCACTAAACTGTGCTCTCCTCAATCAATTAGTCTTTTATTGACCTCACATCCGTCTCTATTCATCCATTCTCATGGACCTTGAATACAACAAAATTGAGTGACTCCAGCATGCTGGATTAAAAAAAAAATGTTTCAAGGTAATGAAAGTAGGTGGAAGAATAAAGGAATGACAAAAACTTAATCAGGGGAAATAAAGAATAAATTCCCTTAAAAAGGCCAGCTGTGAGAACACAAATGTGAAATTTCAAGCAGAGTCTGATACATATTTGAAAAATAAACGTGTGTAATCGGGTCCTGTCAGGTTTGGACAAATATTTCCTACTCGAGGGGGTTGATAACCTGTTTATCAACAAACGAGTGACAGTTTGGAACTGTACACCTGCATGGTGAACCTCAAAGGTAGGTGTTTCTAATAAAATGACCAGTTAGTGGAGGTCAAAATAGGTGTTTATAATACGTGGCCAGTGAGAGGAAGTACAAGGCAGGTGTTTCTAATAAAGTGGCCAGTGAATGGAAGTACAAGGAAAGTGTTTCTGATAAAGTGGCCAGTGAATGGTGGTAATAAGTAGACACAACCTCCAGTATTCTGTAACATCCAGTATTCAAACCAGCAATTTTGTGTTTTACTGGAGCCTAATACCACTTCTCACTCTTTCAAAAAAAGCTTATATTTGAACTTTATTACAGATCCAGTGCAGGTACACCTGCACAGAAAACAGCTGGTGCTATTGCAATTTACTGTGGATACAAAGTATCTGCTGAATTAGAGGAATATAAATCTGTGACTTTAAATCTCTGAATGATTCACTTTGATTATGATTCTTTAATAAATTCTGCTGTAGACTTCAGTATATCAACAACTTTTAAAAAATAAGCATTTAACGTGAACAATTTAAAATACTGTAAACAAAAATAGGGCTGGAGGAACATAAATAAATAATAATAATAAATAATAAAGCAGCTGAATACAGACAATAAAACAAGACAACAAGCTTTTTTGGCTTGTTACCTTTGAAAACAGTCTGAGAATTTTTGTTCGGCTAGGAAAATGAGCTCATACTTGAATGATTTAACACTCAAATCAATGCATCACCTCTTTCACATCAATGCACTGTGATGGATGGATTTTTCTCCTCCTACTACAGAAGAAGATAAAGACAGCAGTGGAGTAACTGTAATGGATCTTACCCTCAGGGTGTTGATCTGAGTGCTGTTCTGGAAGAAGTTCCAGATTTCATCTTCATTTTCCAGCCAGGTATCAGCCAGCACCTCCACTTTAGACAGAGCATCGAATGTACTGTTGGACTACACACACACACACACACACACACACACACACACACACACACACAGTTATGAATGAGTATATGTGCACACACTTTTTTTACTATTTCACTACATTTTTGGGCTTTTTCCAGCAAATTTCTAGTTTTACATGAGTAAATTCCATTCCTATTTATAATGGAAATTAATGTAACAAGGTTTTATGCTCTCAGTCCGTTCTTTATTAAATTATTATGCAATGTAAAGAGCAGCTGGTGTTCATATTTTGTTAAAATGGAGGTTTTGTCCTGACAGTGACACTACATTTTTATATATTAAATCATTTATTTAAAAGATCTAAATACTTATATTCCTAAACCTAATCTGAAACTCAGTAACCAAACCCCACCTCATTACTCAATGAGAGAACAAACATGATTTTGCACTACATTTACATCTACATACCTTATTACATTCTTATTTTCCTGTTCATTTTCACTTTTTAAAGTGTTTTAACAAAAAGATACAGTGTAATGTTAAAAAGTACACATACAAAAACTTGATTAGAAACCTCCATCTTTATTTGGACATTGTTTAGTCTTTCTGGCTTCTGGTCCACCACAAACACTGCACCCCTATATCTGGATTATCATATTTCATTGTTGCAGTTTGTGTAACAAACTTCCATATGAAGATCAGCACACACATTTACATTCATGGTTGGTATGGTGTAGTGGGTAACACCTCTGCCTTCTATGCTGTAGACTGGGGTTCAATCCCCCACCTGGGTAAGCACCCTACACTGTACCAATAAGAGTCCTTGGGCAAGACTCCAAACACTACCCTCACCTACCTGTGTGAAAATGATCAATTTTTAAGTCGCTCTGGATAAGAGTGTCTGCCAAATGCCGTAAATGTAGTTCACACATCAGAGCTGATGGCTCGAACACGGCACTGTGTAAGTGTGTGCTGTTAAGAGCCTGTAGAGTAAGCAGTGTTTCACACCGTGATGTGAAAGAACGTGGTGAATCAAACTCTCACTCCATCAGCACACCCAGCCTTAAACTTAAAGCCAACTTAGCAGCTACTTTTAAAGTGCACATGTTTATTTGACTGTGACTAATCTAAAAGCATAACCATGAGCCCCTCACTGACTGACTTACTCACTGACTGTACCCCCAGGGGAGCACTATCAGCCTACCTCAGAGGTGCTAAATAATCTCTCTTTACACACACACACACACACACACACACACACACACACACACACACAAACACACACACACACAGTTGCTTAGCAGTAGATGAATATACTCATCCTGACTACACCTCTGATTTACAGCTCACTGGTCTTAGTGTGGGTGAATATATACATATTCCTCTTTTTTTCTGAAAAAAAATGAATGACTTAATGGCCATTTTGACAAATAAATAAATGAAATGTTTATATATATATATATATATATGTATATATATACATATGTAAACATTTCATTTATTTATATGTCAAAATGGCCATTAAGTCATTCATTTTTTTCAGAAAAAAAGAGGAAAACATTTAACAGAAAATGAGACAGAAGCCTCAACAACTAAATATAATGTCAACTTTTCCTTATTTTGTGTGCCCACTCTTTGCCTTTACTACATCTCCAAAAGTCTTAGAAGTTGGTTGCATTTTCTAAAACGTTACTCCCCATCTCAGATGTCTAGTTTTGGTGTTCTAGGTCAAATGATTCATTTTCTCAGTGAGTGGAGCTTGATTTTCTCCTCTTATATATAAAAGCTTTAAGCACTGTTTATCTGACGGTGACAGTTTTGGTGAGCTACAAGGTCTTGCATGGTTGTTGTGTCGCATTTTCTCTAAATATTTTAATCATTATTAAAACTCAAGTTCTGGACACTGTAACTCCTACTTTCCCCTTTCTTATGCAAGTGGACTATCCTGTATCTAATGAGAATTTTCTCCTTTAGTCATTTTAGCTGCACATGAGAAAGAAATGCGAAGATGCTTGTGTAAACTTTGGCTATATTCACATTACAAGCCGCATTTGTCAAATCTGATCTCTCTGACACGATGGTTCACACTCGTTTAGGTAAGTGATTCAAATCTGTCATAAATATAAACGAACAGACACCTCGAAATGCTCCGCATGTGCACATCCTACTCAGTAACATCATGTGAATGAGTCATGCGCGTCACATCATCATCAGCAAACAAACTTATGTGCAGAATGAGCCTTCGCTGTGAAGATAATTAACACTGATCAGCTCTCAGCTTCATTATTAGAACGAAACAAAGGTGAAAAAGGTGAGATGTGTTGTTTTTCCACCATTTACAGGTAACAGTAACGCTGGATGATGGCATACGTGCAGAGGAAAAAGAGCACATGAAATCCGATCTGAGTGTTCACATTAAGGTCGCATGGCCACGACTCGGATACGTATCCGATCTAGGACCACATATAAAAGTGGCTCAGCTCGGATTTGAAAAGATCAGATTTGTGTGTCCACATAGCCCTGAGTCACATTAGGGCAAAAAATCGGATTTATGTCACCTCAACCTGATAACGTGAACGTAGCTATAATGTCAGTGAGACCTTTGGGAGCAGCTTTTGTTGGGAAGACACAGCTGCAAGTGGTTGATTTAAGATTGGAAGGATGGAAGAGTGAAAGTGGCAGAATCTAAAGAGCAGACAAATTAAATGCTGATAGATATTTAAATACTATTTAAATGACTAAACTGACTGGAAAACTGAAGAAATGAAAGGGACTGTCTATAAGTTGTCTTCTATAATATACTGTACAAGTAATACATGGGTCAGACGTATCACCATATGTCCTGACACTGTATGAAAACAATCATATGTGTGTGCTTGTCACCTGTGCGATAACCCGTCTTGTAAAGGGTGTGTCCGGTGTGTATAGGACCCTTCCTTGGAGAAGTGGGCGGAGAGTAGTCCAGAAGAGACGCAGAGAGGGTGTACCTTTCAACACATCAACCAAATTCTGACAGAATTCGCCTTCAGAAAGAAAGAAAGGGAGAAAGAGAGAGAGACAGAGAGAAAGACAAACAGAGAGACACATGAAAAGACACCTAAATATTCACTCTCTGAATGCTGTGAATTATTGTATAATATCATGTTTTCACTGCTTGACCAAACAGTAAAAGCTATATGAAATTGAAGCCTGTATATCGGTGTTTAGTCATGAATACCAGCAGTGACAGCAGCAGAAAATTGCTCTGAAAAGAAAATCGCTAGCAAAGCAGCAGCGAAGTGCTGCAAGTAATGAATATGAGATGAATAAGGGAATAAAACTGAACAAGATCCAAAACATTTCCATCTGCGTCCACAAGTGGCACTTTAATGTTTTTATTATATAAATACCAGTGCTTATGATTACAGTATCTCCAGCACCTCTCAGTGATGATGAGAAGAAAGCATCTCCAGTGGACCATTTGTCCATGTATTATTGATATTTATGAGAAAATTTTAAATTCAAAACCGTCTTCCACCCTCATGATAAAATTACAGGTTATACAAGCAAAACAGGTTTGGCTATTTTGCATCATAAAACAAAACAGGACTGACCTCAGACTGCACTAGTGCATTTGACAGCTAAGATTATTAGATGTCAAATACAGAACAATATCATGCATCAGGATCAGTATGATGGATCTGTTTAAATGGAAAACGGACACAGTGGCCTTTGAACAGCCAACCTACACACTACACACTGTGTATAACGGAAGTGGAGACAAAAGCCACAGCTCTACAATTAATTCAAGGTCTGACAGAGCAACTGCTTTACAGCATTCAGAATATAATGTTTATATCTGTTCAAATGGGTGAAATCAGCATATCTGTAATCTGTACATGCTATTCAATGTGTGCACTGTGCTTGTTTGTATGTACAGTACAAAACAGGCCTTTTTATTCATTGTTTTAATTGTGTTTTGTGTTTTTAATAATGTTTTGTACTCAATGATACCTCCATACATTTAATGAGAGCTAAAAGGCCAAAACACATGAGGCACGCTGAATCCTAAAATTCAGCATGCTAAAGTTTTGTTTATTATAACACAATTTTCTATTGACAGTGTTGAAAGATATATTTCTGAACTTTTCTTATTTCTAACTTTTCTTAGATGTCTTATTATGATTATACAGACATATTTGTATCAAATGTCTTCCTGTAACACGTTCACATTTCCACAGACTTCCTCAGTGTATCCAAAAAAAGCAATTTGTGGGCTGCAATGTAGCAGCACGGTTTTGTAATGATTTGTACGATATACTAAAATATGCAAATGAGAGGATGTACCAGGCACTCGACCACAAAGCTCTAACATCTGGCTTGAATCTGCACTGCCAATGGCAGACCACCGTAAGCTGGCTCTGGTTAAGGGCCAGAGCCTGAACCAAGAGGGAGAGATAGAATTTGTTCCTGCTCCCATTGTCGTCTCAGCCCTCACGTCCCACTGTGATCAAACAGCATGGTCTGGCAGCCACTATATGTTAGCACTAGAAGCTAACATTAGCTTAGCGAGAAGGTCTAAACTTCACACATAATCATACAGGTTCATTCTGGCTTACTGAAGCCTCAGATTTAGAGAATAAAGACTCATACTTAAGCAGCTAAACCTGTGCTTTTGTGCGTGGAACTGTTGCTTGTGCTACTTTTAAATCAAACAGAGGCTAACCTTACCTTTGCAATAAAGCCAAACCACCAGCCATTCCAGCTGTGCTGAGGAAAGTTTTGAGGATGAAAACACAAATCTGAGCGAGTGAAAACGAGTGACTGGTGCTGGTGCTGACAATCTTTCCAATTACTAAAGTTACAGTGGGAGCTTATTTGTATTTGTACTCTGCCACCTTTGTTCAGGGTACTAGGTCACGGGGTGGAGTTTAGAACCAGACAGTAAGGGGGTGTTTACAATTGGCTGACTCTTTGGTTTGGTTTTGCTCCATGCGTGGCCAGCTTCAGTTTGGCTTTTTCAGTGAAACAGTGAAAATCTATTGGTATACGTTGTCACAACGTCCACTGACACGGTGAGTCCTGTTCAGATTCAGATGTTGTACCAGTTGGCTGTAGTGTTAAAGCTCATCTGAGAAGGCAGCCTCTGTTACTCATCTGAGATAAAAGCCAACCAATTTCCCTCGGCTATTTTCAATAAAGCATGTTTGTGAATCCATGCGCTGCTTACCCACTTTTTCAGCCTCCTAAAGACAGTGTTATTATGCCTACAGCCCTGCGTTCATTTTCAGATTTGTTCTTTCCTTCCTGCGCTTCCCTGATTTCACGTTCATCCGTTCATATCTCTTATGAATACTTAAATATTAAAATTCGTCAGAATGCACATGCCTAATTAAGACTGCTCTGAGTTTATTGGGGATCTCAGGAGAGGTCTTGGTTGGCAGTATAAAATGCCCTCTCATCCTCTCATTACTCTCAAAGCTTCTGGCCCACCATAAGCTCCGCATGTTTCTCAAGAGAACTCTGCTAACGCTAATGCATCTATCAAAACAGTGTTAAGGAGAGCACCCTTAGCACATTGCTGTGAGCATAGATGTGCTTGTTGTGATGGACTTGCCCTGTATTTTATGATGAAGGCCTTGTAATGGCCTTCTGCTCATGGACTCTATAGAGTGGTCTGATGGACAACATTATCATTCATATATTCAAAATTATGCTAAAACTCACATTGATTCTATGCCTACCATCCATTTTATAATTAACCTCTATCTTGGAGTCCCACCTCGCTGGTGTAGAGAGTGTAATCTACCTGCTGATGCACAATTTGTCCACTAGGTCTTCATCAATGCTCAATTTTGTGACCACAGAGGTGCTCTTTACTTGTACCAGCACCACAAACACTAGCATGTCAGTGTAACTGCTGGTCTGAGAGTGGTCCACCACTCAAATAATATCTGGTCAACAGTGGTCCTGTGGTCAGACACTGACCAATGATAAATGGACTAGAGAACAGCTGATAAATTATAATTATACCCCTATATAGTGAACATATAAGGTAAAGTGGTCAGTGAGTGGAAGTACAGGATGGTTATTTCCAATAAAGTGGCCAGTGAGAGGAACTACAAGTTAGGAGTTTCTAATAAAGTGGCCAGTGAGTGGTAGGACATAGGAGTTTATTTCTAATGAAGCGGCATACAAGGTACGTGTTTCTGATATAGCAGCCATTGTATGGATGCACAGCATAGGCATTTCTAATATAGGTATAGGTCATTGTGTGGAAGCATGAGCTTGGTGTTTCCAATAAAGTGAGCATTTAGTCTACACTGTTTATGAAAGCAGGCCATTCAGAGTTGCTCAACATTACAAAAAGTTTGACTATTCATTACTTTTCAGAACTCTAACTTTGTGGTCACAGTACAGTACAGCAGGGGACAAGCGTGACCACGGCAGATCCACCACCTACGCGTGGCCGAATTTGCTTGTTTGTTTACAGTCACCTCTCGGATTTACTTTGATTTGCAGAGTGTGTTTGTGTTTACATTCACTGCCGTCGCCGCTATGGTGCTGTGTGGTTCTCTAGTGGAATATCTTAGGGATGGAGCTAATTAGGGGCTGCGCTATGCCGGTCTATTAATTACCTCTTCTCAAAAACTCCAATAAACAGACTTTCCTCTCACTCCACAGCCTGCGCTCTTGCCCTGCGGAGGATTTGTGCTGCTTGGGCTTCACAAATTAACAGAACAATACTCCAGCAACACTCCACTCAGCTGCTTTCGGTCCTCACAAGGGCCTGTCCTCTGTTTCCAGGCTAATAGTCTTCTGCTTTTTCTGCAGATTTGTGGCACCCTGTTCAAGTTCAGTTTGTGCACTATTAGAGTGTACTAAAGAGGAAATGATTTGCCAGGGAGGAGGGGTCTGTTTGTATGTGTGTGAAATAATAATCTAACAGCAGGAGACCACTTCTTGAAATAGCACATAGCCTGACATTCCTTCCTGAAGCTTCTCATTTTCTTAAGAACTTTATAGTCATAATAAACTTTTGACTGGCATCACTAAACAAGACAAAAAAAGTGTTAATTAGAAATGTCCTAAGTTCTTAACTTTGAGTATCGGTGGATGCTGATCCAATTCGCTCTTAGTGTTTTTATAGGCAATACAGCCACACAATTTATGTAAAATATTGTCGCTGTCATGAATGAGCCAATAGTGATGCTCCACAATTACTTGGAATAAAATCTTTTCACACTGACTTCCATTAAAAGTCAACAATGTTTTTTTCTTTTCCTGCAAAGTTACTGTTTTGTTTCTACAGGCTGCTAATTAATTCTACTGCAAAATCACTTTAATTTAAGAATGCATAATGTAACTAACCTCCTTGATGATTTGTCTATGTTGCAACTATGCTATGAGTTCATATATGAGTGCAATAGTTTGCTTCGTTCTGTTGGTTTTTAATGCACTATTTATGCGAACGCTGGGTTTTAACCACAAGCGGTGCGCAGCACTGGCACTGGTAAAACAGAACGTTGCCTCAATAGTTTAATTTTTAATCACTCACAAGTGAAAAACACTGTGTAGTTTTTAACCACTCATAAATGAAAACTGCTATGCAGTTTGGGTGGCATGTCATTTGAGGTAAATGGCAAAAAATAGTCACATTCACATTTTGTGACTAGATCAAACACAGTGAAATGCCAGGATTGCAGATGTTATGTTTTCATTTTCCACTTAAAAATTAGTTCTACATTGCAAGCATTAAAACCTATTCACTCTTACTTCTGAAAATGCACCTCACTGCTGCATCCAGTGGATAATATTTATTAATGGCACGTTACACGTTGTGTAAATGGTGTAAAAAAGAATGCAAAAGAAGAAACAAAGGACTGGAACTGCTTAAAATATAAAAAAACACCTGTGGTGTTAATAACGTATGCAATAGACTCTGTAAACTCACAAGGCACTATATTAAAAATCCCTACTTTGTAAAACTGAGCTACAAGCTAGGGTAATAAGGATGATAAGGGTGATGGAACCTCAAAAACCTCCACGACAGCATTACAGTAACTGCACAGTAATAGCAGGCGTACCCTCGGTTTTGTATAATAAAGAGTTTGCAGCACCCCCTTTTTTTTGCAGGTGCAGTTGTAGCACTGTGGTTTTAAGAGTTGTCACACTCCAGCTAGCAGTACTTCCTAACAGAGGCTTTGAATGCTAATAAGAGCACAAACACCAGTTCATATGCAGTGCACTTCACAGGTACTTACTAGAGTTGCTGTGGGTTGAGTTTAAGCTGAGTGCAGTTGTGGATTGAGTCGGTAATCGAAAGCCTGGGTTGGAGCTGCTGCTGGTGTTGCTGCTCTTGGTGGAGTTAAAGCCTGAATCCCCACCACACATCAACAAAGTCAAACTGCCGAAGGGATTTGAACGGAAGTCTAGACCGTTAACTGCACTGAGTAAAGTTGAGGACTGCAGTTTTGACACCTGAACAGAAAAAAAAAAGACAGAAATTTAATAACAGCACAATGTATACAAGAACATATGTTATTTTACAACTAGTTAAAATGTTAAATATTTTTTAAGTTGTCTACCTAGATAACTACATTTACCTCAGCAAATTCACTGTATATAGTTGTGACTGTGTATGACTTTGTTTGAGATACAAAACGAAACGGTGGTTGATGCATATGGCTTACTCGTTCTACAACCGTTTTTCAGTTTTTGACATAATTTGAAAATGCCAGTTGTTCTTTACATTGGGTGTAAATTTAATGATGCATGGATCAATAGAAATGGCCCAAAATGACTTGGAAAAGAAGTATGGTTCCACTGATTTACATTAAAAGTAAAAAAGATTTACATGTATGTAAAGTTACCATTTTGGAGATATGAGGTTTTGTTCTGAGACCAGCGCATGTTTAGACTGGAGGCAAATTAGATTTGTTGCTCAGACCTTATGGGACGACTGTCTGCACTGTTATTTGCAAGCGTTCAAGGATTTGCATGTCCAGACATTAACACCCTAACTGCATGGGTTGCCATGCTAGCAGCTATGCTAGTGTCACGCATTTCAAACACAGATGCAGGAGAGATGGAAGTGCATCATCTTGCCCTGCAAACTCGTCATAATTATTTGGCATAGAGATGAATCTTTGGTGCTCTTCTTGAATCCCAACAGTTCCATCAATTTGGTTTTGACATTGTCTTTGTCACGTTGCGAGTGACACAAAAGAACAAAAAGACCAGTGAATTTAAAAACCAATTTGAGTGTCCAGAGCGTCCAGACTGATACACATCTGTAAAAATTTCATTGGGCCACATTCAAACCACTTGGTTTGGTTCCAATTTGCAAAAATCGGACTTCATGTATTTTGCTGTCCAGACTATCAAAAATCAATCTGGATATGCCAAAAATCAGATTTGGGCTGTCACAGCCCAACTGTCTGAACATTGCCTAATTGTGGGATATGGACATGGCGGTTGGGGCATAATAAATGCTAGCATTAGTCACTTACCTAGCTAGCGTTATCTTGGCAAGCTCTTCAAATAATGCCGATTCTAAACAGCAATCAGCACTAATGGTGTGCAAAGGTACTCGTGTACTTGGCTAACCATTCAAGGTGACAGCATCTGATTACTAAAATCAGTATTTGAATAATTGTTACGCTTCATCAAAGGAAGATGGAGAAAATATACAGACCACTAGTTTAGTGAAATGCTAACTGTATGTTTTAACAGATTGTGTTTGTGATTAAGCATTTATGTTCCACTCTGATTCACAAGTGCCTTAACGTGAGTGCATTGCCAAATACACGCTAAGGACGTGCCTGAGAACGCAGAGGTAGGACAGTGGTGTTAGTTGGAGTTTTACTCAACTCTGGAGCTCATTAGCTCACCTGAAGAGGCAACACCTGTTACTTACCCAGCACAAAAAAACACCATTTTCTCTTGGCTGCTTTTGAATAATAAAACATGTTTGTATACCTCTGACTATACTGCTAAATTCACTGAAAACCGTAAACCTACAGCTCTGTGTAAGCTTCTTCTTTTCCCTTCCCTGTGTTTAACTAACTAAACCTTAAAGTTAGTAGGAATGCACATCCCTGTCTGACACATCAACATATCATGGTGATTTTATCTTCACCTATAAAACTGTATAAAGCATGTGTAAGTAATGTGTTTCTTAGTTATGTTGGCCTCCACTGCAAGTGTTACCAAAGTTAGAGGAGAAACCCCAGAAGTTCCAACTAGAGAGAGATACAGCTCAAGCTCAATCAAACTTTAGCACTTTTTCCCAGTAACTCCCCTTTGAAGTTAAAACAAAATCTACAAAAATCATAAGGAAAGCACGATCCACTCAGTCTTAATATGTTAGGATTTTAACCAATTAAACTCTAATAACTACATAACTTACAGATCAATTCTATAGCAGTTAATGAATAAAAAGGCCTGAGATTAGGAACCAAATAAAAAGCCTGGAGTTAAACGTTGTTCAGTGTTTTCAAGAAGTCAGCCATATTCAAATCAGCTCATTCAAATATGATACCACAACAGCTGCAATGGCATATGGACGGCCTTATGAAAGAAGACACTGTGTTCCTGTGCAACTCCAATCTAAATATATTCAAACAGGATTTGGAAAATTGAGCTCACCTGGTTGGCCACAGGAGCTGCATGGGTGCTAGTTTTGGCCAGCAGCAGTGCCGTCTCAGCTGGGTTAAGGTTGAGTGCCAAAGGAAGCTGAAATCAAGAGACAGAAGATTATGTTATTCAGCTAACCGTACTTTGGAAGGTGCTGGAACTGTTTCTAAGTAAGCTAAAGTTAGACTGGCTAGCACACGTAGCTACCTTATTGTACTAGAAGCTAATTGGCAAGTCTAAAGTTTGTCTACACAATGCACAAAGCCAACTACCTACTTAAATAATAAGCTAGCCAGTTAACCGGCAAGCTGAACATTATGAGGGCAGAGTCCCCTTTTGATGTCCAAAGTTGTTTCAGATTGCGTGTAAGATGCTCTGATTCTGTGGAACTAGCCAGCCGGCTCCATTTACATGTAATCTGTTAAACAAATGTGGTCATTAAAAGGGCTAAATATAACCCCCAGGCTTCTTAGTAAACCTGTTTAATGTACATTACTTGTATGGCTTAAGGATGCTAGTCCACTGAAGCTTTATGCAGGGGAGCCTATGAGGGCTTGAGTTATTTGAGCTTGTGGAACATCAAGCAGTTTAAAACCTTCCTAATGTCCCAGGTGGCCTATTATTGAAGCACCAAAGCTTCAGATTGTTCATTCAATCTCTCTGACCTTGAGCGAGAGAGAGAGAGAGAGAGAGAGAGAGAGAGAGAGACAGAGGGAAAGTGAGAAAGAGAGTGGAGAGAGACGAGGAAACAAAGACAGAAAGAGAATGGAGATAAAGACAGAGATTGAGCAGAACAGGGAGGGGGAGAGAAAAAGAGAGAGACATATAAAGCAAAAGGATAATAATAGAGTAGGAAAAAATTAACGGAGAGAGTGGAGAGAAAAAAGGGAGGAGAGAAAAAACACAAAACAGAGATAGAAACGGAGAGAGGGAAAGAAAGAAAAAGATAAAGAAAGAGAAAGAAAAAGAGCAGGAGAAAAAGACAGAAAAAAACAGAAAACGAGAAAGATGGAGAAACTGGAGCGACAGAGAAAGAGAGTGGAGAAAAAGAGAGGCAGAAAAGAGAGAAAGAGAAAAAAGTGAGAGAATGAAAGAGAGAAAGTAGAATGTAAAAGAGAGATGAGACAGGGAGAGAGGAAAAAGAGAAGGAGAAGAGAAAGAGAAAAAACTGAGAGTGAGGGAAAGACAAAAAGAGAAAGATGGACAGAGATGGAGAAGGTGGAGTGACAGGAGAGAGAAAGAGAGACAGAAAGAGAGAGAAGGAGAGAGAGAGAGAAAGAGAGCGAGCGAGCGAGAGAGAGAGAGAGAGAGAGCGAGAGAGAGAGAGGTGTGTCCAGCTCTGCTGGCTGTGTTTGAGCTTAAGAGAAGCTGTGTCTGAGCTGGAGTTTAAGCCCCAAATGGCTTTTCTTTATTCAGTCTGGAGTGTGTTAATCCGAGCCCAATTTTACCCCTGGCATTCACCAACTCTCACACACACACACACACACACACACACACACACACTCAGAACACAGAGGCATCGGCATGGAGATTTCGACTGAAGCAGTGTTAGCTTTGCGGATCCAGACGCGATCTTGTAATGAGAAAACACCTCTGGGAACAACTTGTTAAACTTTTGGTGCCGAATCACGGCTAAATCTCCTGCTAACAAGGGTACATTCTAAAAGGCACTCACAATAATGATTATTATGCAGTGATAATCAGAGTGTTTTGATCATCCTTCAAACTGCAGGCTGATGATTCTCCACAATGAGAGCTATTAGCACTCCAAAAGCTTTTGTGTGCATCACTAGAAGAGAGGAAACTCACACCAGCAGAATCTCATGAATAGACATATATTTACATTCACAAATTCTATATTTTTGAGGTTAAAAGTCTGAAACTATACTAAACATTTGCTAGATAAGAATGAGGTTTTCTTTAAGGACCTTGTCTATACGGAGTAACGTTAGTACAATATAATGCTTGCAGCTAATAGCAAGACTAAACTTAATCTCTCTACTGAAGTCTCAAGACTTGACTTGCACTTGCAATCCAGAGACTCGACTCACAGATTAGAGACTTGAGACTTCGAATTGAACACCAAAGACTCAAGACTTGGCTGGTAATCAAACCCCAGAGACTCAAAATTGGAATCAGTTTTACAGACCATACACTCAACTTGGACTTGCAACCCAGAGAATCAAGACTCAACTCAGACCCACACCTCAGAGACTTGAGACTTGACTTGGACTTTAATTGGGGATATGAGACTTGACTCGAGACTTACACCCCACAGATGCAGGATTTGACTTGGACTTGCAACCCAGGGAATCACGACTTGACGCAGACTTGCTTCCCAGAGACTTGAAACTCAATTCGCTATTGCTCCTCAGACGTACAAAATTCGACTTGGACTCAAAGACCAGACCAAAAGACTCAAGGCTGGACTCTCAAGTGCACCCCAAAATGTTAAAACTCGACTCAGACTCACAGACCAGAGACTCAAGACTTGACTCAGACTCGCACCCCAGAGATTTGAGACTTGACTCTCAATCAAACCCCAAACACACCAAACTTGACTAAGAGTCACAGACCACAGACTCACCCCACCCTCCCACACACAGCCCAGGCACTCAAGACTTGACTTGCAAACGCACCCCAGAAACTCAAAACTTGACTCAAGACTCGACATGTAACCATCCCCGGACACAAGACTCAACTTACAACATAACTCACACCTGTGAGACTCAAAACTTGACTCATACTCACAGACCAGAGACTCAACATGACTTGAACTCAAAGACTAAAGACGTGACTTTGACTCCCCAGACACTCCCCTCACAATCTCACCCCAGACACAACACTTGCACTCAGAGTCAAGACTTGACTTACTCAAGATTTTACTTACTAAGACTTGACTGGGGACTTGACTTTGACCAAGAACTTGAAACTTGACTCAGACTTAGGGATCTGAGTGTGTGTGCAATCACGAGTTGGCTTAAGACAGTTTGGATGTGATTATGAGTTTCATACAGTGACCCTCCGACAGACTCGAAACTTGACTCAGAGACCAGAGACTCAAGAATCAACTTGCACTAGCACCCCAGTGAAGAATCCAAACCTGCTCCAAACCAGGGAACTCGATCTGTTGTCTGGACAAGTGAAGTTTATTTGTTGCGTGCACAGGTTCTAGACACCCAGCCAGCCTGTAAGACATTGGACTGACACAGTTTTATAGCTGGACTGATGCCAAGATTAGACCCAGCTTATACAGGACAAGTAACATGTGTGGCAAACATGACCATATAAGGAGAAACACAAAATAGGCAGCCTAAAATACAACTTCAGTACCTTCAAACACTACAGAATGTATAACACAGCACATTTCACAACAATATTCCTTCATCAGAGACTGAAGACTTGCAGCTGTACCGCAGAGACTCAAAACTCGACTCAGACTTACAGATCAGAGACGCTAGACTCAACTTGGACTTGAATCTCAGAGACTTGAGACTTGACTCTGATTTGCACCTCAGACACTCAAATCGCAATCCTACCCCAGAGACACAAGACTCAACTCGCACTCACAGCCCAGAGACTCAAAACTCGACTCAGACTTACAGACTAGAGGCTCAAGATTCGAGACTCAACTTGGACTCAAACCCCAGAAATTCAACACTTGATTCTGGATTGCACCCCAGAGACTCGAGACTCACGCTCAGAGTTAAGACTTGACTCACAGACCAGAGACTCCAGACTTGACTGTGACTCGCAGACCAGAGATTTGAGATTTGACTGAGAGACCTGAGAGTGTGTGCATGCACAAGTAGGCATAAGACTGTTTAGATGCGATCATGAGTTTCATACATACACTACAGCAGACAACGTAAGCTGCTAGCAGCTAAATTCTCTCTTTCACATACACAGTAGTCTGTAGCCACTAATTGAATAGTGCCCTATTACCCTGGCACTTCCACAAACGCAGCTAGTAGGGCAATAACCATTCCACATTTCAACAGCTTCAGAATAAACTACTTAAACCCTGCTGGCATTGGAAGAAAGCAACCGCGGGCAAGAGCTGCAAATAAAAACTGCCTTCAATCCCCCATCCGCTTCTCAGAGAAGCATTTGCACTCATCAACACATCACTCCCAGAAACGCATTCTCAAGGCTAATAAAGAGAAAGCAGCCATCAGAGATGTGGAGATCAAGGCCCCATTCTTTTCTTCCACTGAAAAGCGGCTTCCATCCGTCAGCAGCCTGCACTCCAGGCCAGGCGTGATTGATTGATTGAAGAGCCCATATATACAACAGAATTTTCTTTGTTTTAATGAAATAAATTTTTATTAAAATTTAGCGGCATGGTTGTGAAGTCACAACCATGAATATATTTATATGAGTTAGAATATTAAAGAGCACATACCATGGAATACTGAATATCATGAAATGAAAGTTTGATGTACTATATAAACACAATTTGTCTCAAAACAACTTCACTCTTCTGTCCATGAAGTCTGTGTATGGAAACTTTGCAGCAAAATAGCCTTTCATGAATTCATCATGGTTGTGATATCACAACAATGAAAATCTTTACATTTAAGCTATTGATTTAGCTCACAAAGGTCTAGCCTCATCCATTCTCATTGAGGTGATGTGGGGTGTCGTTCCTGACTGTCTGGAAGTGAATGGATCATTGCGGCCTCCCAATGGATCGACACATCCAAAAGGAGTGTCTGAAATGTGTTTTTTTCAACATTTCCAAGGACTCGAATCCAAACACAAGAGTTAATTCCATTCATTTCACTTCAGACTGCTTTTAGAATGAGGTACAATATAGGGCAGCTTAGCAGAACATAGCTCATTTACATTTGTCAGTCTTAAGTCTTAAAAGCAACAAGAACTGCTTGTTTACTCTAAAGGACAAACAGATATGAAAGTGTTAGAGTAAAAAACATTTTTTGGTGCATAAACCCACACAAATGTTATTAGTGGGCCTCAAGGGAAAAAAATAAAACAACTAGAAAAAATGTAGAATATGGGCCCTTTAATCTTGCTAAGGCTTCCAAATTAAATGTCCACGGCAGGAAGGGTCCTGGCGGAAGCTACCAGGCTGAATGCTTTCTGGCACGACATGTGAAACGAGCCCAAATTGAGAGCTTGTCCGTTGGTCCTTGACATCTGCAACTGCTGCCCGCTGCCTCTGGGGCTGGGATTTAAAATCTGGGCTGTAGCAGAAGAAGCCTAAGAGAAGATGCGTCCCTCTGGACGCTCAACCAGCAGAACGTCAGCGTTAATGAAAGGATCTGCTGGCTAGCTGCTTTCCCGCAGAGAGCAGAACAAACTTCAGCAGCATCATCTCTGTATTAAAAAACAACACTTTCACTGCAGACCTGAAAAAGCCTTAGTAAAACCCTTTAGCACATCTGAACCTCATTTATTTGCTCAACCTTTGCTTATTTATTTGCTCAAATGATCTCGCAGTGAGTTTGTTTTGGACAAAGGCACTTTTGCTGCATTTCATAACAGTGGAGTTATGTAAAAGCAATCTAAGTCGCCCTCCTCCTAAGCTTTGGAACTGTGTATTTCTGAGCAAGTCCATTTGAAAATGATGACTTTTCACACTAAAAGTGCTGTAAATTCTACATGATGTTCTTTATTTTTAAATGATTCATATAATGGGAAATAGGGCTTACTTATTTATTACATTAACTTACCACACAAGTTAAGATTAAGTTTTTTTTTCTCCTGTAAAGTTACTATTCTGGAGATATTAGGTTTTGCTCCATCATCAATGAGATATGGACAAAGCTGTGAAAAAGTATTTGCTTCCTCCTGATTTCCTTTATTCACTTTTGACTCTCAGTCCACAGATCATTATTCCAAAAGGTGTTTGGGAAATGTGTGCGTTTTGCCTTGGAACTGTCCCATGGATATTATTTTTGCGTCTCCCTCTTAATAGTGGAATCATGAATGCTGACCATATCTGAAGTGATCGAGGCCTGCAGTTCTTTTGTGACCTCCTAGATGAGTTGTTTCTGTGCTTTTGGAGGAATTTTGGTAGGCTGGCCACTTCTAGGCAGATTTACTGTTCCAAGTTTTCCCAGTTTAGAGGTAATGATTGCTTTGTAATCCTTTCCAGACTGATATATTTCAATACTTTTCTTTTTCATCTCTTTAGGACTTTATTTTGATTGAGTGCTGCTTGTCGAGACGTTTAATGTACTTCATTTTCCTGGAGAGGTTATTTTAGTGATTTTTACATTTATCAGGGCTGGCAGTATTCAAGCTTGCATGACTAGCTTAAAGACCTTGAGCAGTTTTTTTTTAATCTGTAAAAAAAACAAATATTACCACAATTTTATATATTTCAGTTACCTTCAAATGTCTTTTCCCAAAAATGACATCAAAAAGAGTTGTTTTGTTTTTTCTTTTTTATGTCTGTCACCTTTTACCATTCTGCTGTGGCACATGGACCCTGAAGAGGGAAATTCTGAACAAGAACCTGGCCCTGAACCTGAAAATCGCAGCCCTGTGGCAGCTTCTCAGCAGCACTGTTCAGATATCTGTTTGTTAGCCAGCTAATCAAAGGTTTTGCATGTCAACTGTAGTGAGAACATGAAGCAAAGATCAACTTTTTATTCGCCAGTTTCTTGTTTAAATGTTCCCATTCCACCCTAAATGGCACAGCGCCAGAATGTAACTACAGCACCATTTAAGGTGGAACAGAAAAGGCCAAACAAGAAGCTGGCGAATAGAAAGCCAACTTCAGCCTTATTGTTGACTGTATTGTTAACTGTAAATTTGACCATTCTCTCTTTTGCATCCAAAAACTGAGCATTTGAAATGAATGCCATCTCCTAGGAGCTATAACGTTATGTCAAGTAGAGCGATGCAGGGTGTGTGAGGTGTGGGAGGGTCAGGTGATTTCAGTTCATTAATATGCAATATAAGGAAGGTCGCTTATGATTCGCTATAGTCAATTAAAATCACAAGAAATAAAGTGTAATTCTTAAATACAAAAAAAGAGTTAACGGTCATTTTATGCACTCTGCAGTGCCCAATTGATGTTGGACTGAAACAGAAGTATGAAGATAAACATTTTGAGTAAGGAGAAAAAATACTGTCCTGTAATGATCCCAGGCATTGGGTTTAGTCATGTATTAACGCATAGTAATGCACTAAGACTTGTATTTCCTCCTTGGCTGAGGGAATTCAGTGTTTGAGTGGCTTGCTGGGTCAGGGCACCCTATCCCTCCATGCCCTGAGATGACCTGTTGTACTCACACTTTCACCCCAATCTGGCCAGAACAGAGTAGATTCATCCTCTCTGTTTGTCTGTCCTTCATACTTTCTCTCTCCTCTCTGTTTGTCTGTCCTTCATACTTTCTCTCTCTCCTCTCAGTCTGTCTGTCTGTCTGAATCCACCTCTACAACGTGTTTTCACCAAGATTCCCGAATCTTCAGAAAATTACAGCATTACAGACCTATCCTGAGTGAAATCTAGAACGTTTCTGAATGAGTTCCTGGTTTGCATTTTGACCATGCTGTAGGTACAATGACATTTGTCTAGGTCCAACTACAACTTGCCACACCTGCTCCAGCTAATTAACTTCTTTAGAAGTCGCTAATTGGCTCAATCTGATGTATTAGTTTTAGGTAAGGGAGGAGAAGCATTAAACGCAGGTTGGAACTAAACTGTGCAGGAAGGCAGTTCTCCAGGACCAGGGCTGGAGACCAGTGATGTGAAATAACAGAATCAGGCAAACTGCCAACGAGCCACATCATTTAAATTTTTCTCACCACTATTTTCCTGATTTACCTAAACTGGAAAGATCCAGAGTTTCTAAAAAAGTTTGAAGTTACAGAGGAGGTTCCTTCAGTAAAAACACTTCTAAAAAGTTTCAAGATTTCTTAAAAAGAACTTTGGAACTTTGAAGAAAGTTTCAAGTTTGTGAGAAGATTCCTGCAGTGTTGCCTTTCTGAAAGTTCTTGAGCTTCCAAGTGCTCTAAACATCTCTGGTACAGAAGAAGGGTTTTTTTTTTTGCGGAAATATACCTTAAATATCCTGAGTTCCTAGAAAAGTTCCTAGTTTCAAAGTTCCAGCAGTTTAAATGCACCAAGAGGTTCTGGAATTCCTGAAAAGTGAACCTGAAAACATGGTTAAAAGTTTTTTTTTATTCCTGAAAAGGTTGTAGTTCCCAAAACTGTTCTTGCAAAGGAAACATGACTAAAAGTTCCTGACTTTCTGATTCCTGAAAGGTTCCTGTACAGGAAATATATCTTTCTGGGTTTCAAAAATCCTGAGAAATCCTGTGATGTAAACACACCTAAACATTTCTGAACTTTTTGAAATTGTTTCTGGTTCTTGAAAGGGTTCCTACAGGGGAAGGTCCAGAGTTTCTGGAAAAGTTTCTGGTTGCAGAGAAGGCTCCTGCAGAGGAAACAAGCCAAACATTTCCACAGTTGCCTTACTGAAATTTCTTGAGCTCCCAAGTGTTCCCAAATTCCTAAATATCTAAGTTTCAGAAGTTCTTATTCCAGGGTTCCTGCAGTGGAAATGAATCTTATGGCACGTTGTCTCCTCCCTCTTACGCACTCTCTGGATTGGAGGATGGGTTGACCTGCTCCTCAGTAGCCTCAGTGCTTTATTATCTTAAAAGGCCTTTCCTTCCTCTCAGCGAATGTGTGCCCTCATCACTTATTTAGCACAGGGCTTGACATATACATTCACACATAAAGGCATATACGGCCCACTCTCACAGACCCTCCAACACGACACGCTTTCATCTTCATTTCCCTCAAGTGCGAAAAAAAGAATATGACAAAAACTTTGGTCTAATCAACCCGTAACGCTGCAAAGGCTCAGGAACAGTTCAAAGATTGTAAACTTGAAAAAAGGAACTTCTGCTTCACAGAAATATCTTCTATTCCCGTAAGTCACTGTGCTTTTGATACCAGCCAAACGGATCGTTGTTTTCGCAAGCAAACCTTCAAAACAGCGCCCTTTCCTCAAGGAGGAAATCAAAATGGGTTTTGCAGCTTTGACCTAATCATCACTTAAACATCAAGGTGTAAAAAGTTTTGGCTCACAGAGCCAAAAAATTTTCAGCGGTGACAGAAAGAAGAGTCTACTTCTAAGTTTCGCAATAAGACGTTTTCCTTAAAATGTTTTAGAACTGTAGGGAACAATGGAAGAGTCAGATACAATCAGATTAATGTTTTTACTATTTACAATGTCAACAAAAAAAAAACCTGGGTCACATATTCAGAAAAAGACTGGATTTGGCCCACTTTTACCTGTAGTGTGAATGTAGCCTTATAGTCTGTAACCCTTTTGTTAATGAACAATTTATGTTTGTCATCCTTTAGCCCTTTAGTGGTCAGTTTCTGCCCACAGAGATGCTCTTGGCTGGAGTTGTGGGTGGATACATGGACAAGTAAAAATGCACACCAGCATCAACATTAACATGTCTGTGTCACTGCTGTGCTGAGTATGATCCACAACGCAATCTGGACAACAGCAGTCCAGTGGTCAGAAACTGACCAATGACGAATAGGGCAGAGGGGAGCTGATAAACTGTGCAGCTACAGATGAGCCACAGTCTGTAACCGTACACCTATACAGAGGACCTAGTGATGGTAGCCAGTTAGAGGAAGTACAAGGTTTCTATTAAAGTTGCCAGTGAGTGGAAGTACAAGGTTGGTGTTCAGGTGTTTCTTATAAAGTGGCCAGTGAGATGAAGTTAAAAGTAAGTGTTTCTAATAAAGTGGCCAGTGAGTGAACGTTAAAGACAGGTGTTTCAGCCATGTGGTGTGTATCACCCATGCACGTAAAATATTGCTAGAAAACAGTGCATATCTTCTCTATATTGTAATGCTTATCATGTAAAACACATTGGAGGGTTACTCACTGCGGTTGCCAGCTTTCTATTGTCCAGATTTCGAACGAGGACCTCTCTGGTTTGGAGAAGCTGATTGGGCGTCAGGGAGCATGTGATGTTCAGGAATTCCTGTCTCTGAATGGTCGAGTTAAACTCCAGGTAGCGATCCACGGAGGTGGAGCTACACAAGGTGGAGCGCAGGTTTGTCTCAGCTGAGAGAGCAGGTAACTGCATAGAGGAACAGTGAAAAATAACAATCAACCAACACTTTATTCTTATTAGGAAATTATTCTAACATTACTGTCAATTGGCCTCCAAAAAGGATATTAGTGGCTGCCTTATCAGCTTCGAAAAAGTCCATCTAGTGCCAGATATCCAATTATCTTCAATTTGGCATGACTATTTTAAAGATATTCTTATTTCTGAGCATACCACAACTTTAGACAGCAAAAGCAGTGACACTCAAATTCAAATGTTATACATTTTAACTACTATAAAATAATCTCTTCTAATGGATACATTCAAACCCTCCCTAAGTAAGTTCTGTTTCAAGTGTCACTGAGGTTCACAATATTCTGGAAAACCAAGAATATGTTGTTAAAAATACTTCCATTTCTAAAATGCCATGCTAACACACTTGTCATTACTAGACACAGTCTGGATGTAGACCTTACAACAACGGCTCTCTGGCATATCAAGCTCAGGGAGCACGTACACAACTGATAGAGAGCACTCAAACACCTGACAGGCCGTGTCTCCCCCCCCTCAACCATCACAGATCAATTTGTCATACAGAGGCAGAATGGTCTGACATTTTCTGCCCTTTAAATGGCTTGTTGTTCCGAAATACCTGAAGAGGAATGATACGTCTACGGATCATAACAGGTGGTTTGAACTCCACAGGCTGATCTGTGCATCAGTGATCGAGCCAAAAATGAAAACCCTAAAAACTTCGAGCCCAAAGCGAAATTGGGCTTTTGACATTCTCCCGTAATCTGCACGACTCGACTGAAGTAGTGAGAAAATAGCCAAGCTGCAGGACAAAAACACCCTTGTAACTGTTTCAGATGCCTGTAACCTACATTACTATTCCCACTGCTGTAAAAGTAACCACTCCATTTCCCGGCAGCTGCATGGATGCAGTCGAACTCTACTTCAACAAGTAGAGCATAATTCATACTTTTGATCACCATGTTTCTGATTTGTTAAAGACCTTTTATTTATGGCATTTATGGCAGCTTGGTACCACTGTATGATGGGGAGACCTAGACACTATTCGGGACAGATACAATTTATTTGGGAACATAGGGTCATGCAATATTATCAATAACTCTTTTCTACCAAGATTCTGGCAGCTTTTCAATTAATAAAACAAGGCACAGAAATAACCTCAGGTTATACTAATCCTGGGTTTCGAATTGCCATGTCTGTAAATAGTCTTCATATCTTGTGGAAAAGGTGTTTTTTCGTTCAGATGAGTTGACCTTTCTGACTGTTTATAGAAATAATAGATGTTTTGGAGCAACATATGCTGCCTTCTAGATGATGTCTTTTTCAAGCACATCTATGCTTATTTCACCATGACAATGTCAAGCTACATTCTGCTCGTGTTACAACAGCATGTGTTAAAGCAGTATGGCTACGTAATCAGAGAGTATGGGTGCCAGACTGGCCTTCCTGCTGTCCAGACCGGCCCCCATTTCAAAATGTAGGCAAAACGCAACAAGGATGGGCAAACGGTATCAAGTGTTGTTAAAAGGAAAGGTGATGTAACATAGTGGAAAATATACTCTTGTACCACCTTTATTGGAATATGTTACAGGCATAACATATGCAATGAGCATAGATTTACAAAAACCAATCAAGTTCACAAGGTAAAAGATAAAATATTTTGTTTTTGTTCTGCTTTAAATTTAATACAGGTCAAACAGTATTTACTAATCACTGCTTTCTGTTTCTATTAGCATTTCACACACAGTTCCAGTTTTTTGGAACTGGGTTTGTATATGTGACTTTTCTATAAAGGTAGTGGGAAAGAGGCTGGAGATGTGGTCTGTTTTAGGTTTCTAGGTGTGTGGGTTTATAAACTCATCCTTCGCTCACTCCGCATGTGAGTAAATTTGTGTTTGAGTTTTTTCATTGAGTGTTTGTTTACTAGGCCGTACCTGATTGAGTCGGACTCTCACACTCGTCAGTCTCTGGGCTGTTTGCGTTGGCACTGACAGGTTGCTCCTCAGGTATTCGGAGAACGTCTCATTATCTTTTAGCACGCTGCGCAACGGAATCGATCGACCTGCACACACATAGAGACAGAGAGAGGGAGAAAGAATTTATAGAGGACAGACTGTGTCACTACTGTATGAAAAGCAGTTTTAATTCATCAATGACAAGTTACTTTCCCCTCCAGTCTCGCTGTGGCGTTTTCGCTCCTGTGTTTGAAACAGTAAAACAACAGTATATATTCCTCCACCACAACAAATCTAGATGTGCTGTAGAAACACAAGGTGCAACGTGACACTTGGTCGAAAAGGAATTTAATGAAAACTGAAGCTAAAAGTCATCAAGGTGCCTCATTTTCACAGCGGTTTCAAGTTCAGAATTGGTTGATAATTAGTTGCTAAATGCATCTGCAGCATATGAGCGTTATTAAGCATGTCTGACATGCGATGTTAATATTCTCGTGCCGGTGGGGCTTTCTTTTTATATTCCATCCGCTTATTGTTCTCTGACACAATGCACTTATCTGAATAAAGCTGGAGGTGTGCATCAGTGTTGTGTCGTGCTGTGTATGTGTGTGTGGTGAGTGGGTGGATGGTAATATTGAGATGGCCATTGAGGGAGATGCTGAGGCTTATTAAACACATGTTAGTCCTTTAAAGAGTCGTTCGGCTGTAATGAAACACACAGATTCAACCTCCCACAGCTACACACACACTCTTACACTTGTATTATTGTTTTTATAGGGACCTTCTATTAGCTTGCAGCTACGGTGTAATAGTTTTGGTGTAATATCACAACAGTAAATCCTCAGGGCCTTCAAGGCCATTAATTATCACTGTGATGAGAGCAGTCACTGGATTTCAATGATAATGGTGAATGATTTTCATCAATCAGTGTCTCATTGTTACTCTGATAGGCTGCTAACAGCAGTCATTGGTTATCATTGGTTAATCTAAATACTTCTGTCCAACCACAGGCTGCTTTCTATTTTCCCTTTCTCTATATTTAATATTTTATGTTTCTATATAAGTGTAAAATGTATTCCTCTGTTCATTTTGTTCTTATTGTGTTTTAGTTTTGCTATTTAGTGTTGACCAGACGGGAGGATGGATTTCCCTTTTGGGTCTTGGTTCTTCTCAAGGTTTCTTCCTCCTGCTGTTAGGGAGTTTTTCCTTGCCACTGTCGGCTTTGGCATTGGGGCTTCAACACAGATTTTCTGTAAAGCTGTTTTGTGACAATGCTATAAAAAGTGCTATATAAAAAAAAGCACCATTTAACTAAACATTGACTTGACTTCAATGGTATTAGCAGTCTTTCATTTAATAGCATCATGTTTGTTGTATTTAAACTCTGAAGTTATTGTAGTTATGTATTTATTTTTATTTCATTGTTAAGTTGTGGTTGGAAATCTTACAATGGCTACCAGAAAATGATCCAATTTGGTATCTAAATAGATACAGCCAAGTGAGCTCTCCCATTGGTTAGCATGTCAGGAGCTGAAGGCCTAACCTGACAAATTAACCACTGACATAATTAGAAACTGACACCAGAATCAGCCAATCATGTTTTGAATTAGAATAAGTGAGCCGAACTTCGTGTGAATAAAACATTAATTTTAATGCATGTTACAAGCTTCAAATAAAACACATGCAATGCCATTTACAAGCTTCAGATGTCTGAAATGGCCAGAATCTAGAACGACCAAAAAATGTTAATGTGAATCATGGTGAGCCTAGCTGTAACATACTTTTAGAACCCCCAGGACTGCTTGCATAAATTAGCTTTATCATATAGGTGTTTCTCCCCCTCACACATTTCCTGTGGCTTGTATATATATATTTATATGCACATGTATGCATGTTCAATCTCTTGTTGCAGGAACCAAATGTCGCTACAACATCAGAATCTTCATGAGGACATTTGGCCCCCACAATAAATCGATAAATAAATAAATAAATATTGCTCTGAGTGTGTGATATACTTGCACACGACAGGAACCCTTCTGAAAATGTCATCTGAAGGAAAATCAAACAAAACAGCTTCATTTAGAGCAGAGCAAATTTTTTAGGTGGCCTTCTCCGTCCCAGGTCATGTGACACCCCATATGCTAGTTTTAATCTAATCTGGATTTAAAAACACCTACAGAGTTTGCATTCCTGGTGTTCTCTGGAATGCAATTGTTTCAGAGCAACATAAGAAAATGATCTTCCCCCGACTGAGCTGTGAGTCATTGTAGGAATATTGCAGTGAGCTTGTCTCACAAAATATCACAAGTTTGTTCAAGACGTTGCTGTGTCGATAAGTTTACACAGCCCTCCACAACACTAAAAGCCAATTAGGCCTTTCATTTCACATTTGATCCGAGCATACACATTGTATAAACTGAAAACAGCCGGATAGATGGAGTCTCTGACAGATATGCAGATAAAGACGTTTTGGCTTTAACATATAGCTGTTGAAAATGTCACCTGGCTAAAGTAATAACACACACATGCAGCGCGGTGCTAATGAGAGCTGCGCTGTGAGATGGGTAAAGGCCGCTATTGGATGTGGTGGAGGAGTAATTAGTGTTTGCATTACTGCAGATAATATCCCGGCCCCATTATCAGCGGAACAGTTCCATCAGCTGGAATGAACAGGAGGTCGACATGTCTCTAGCACACACACACATTCGGTGGCCCCCGTGTGAACTGTTTGGAGCTAGATTGAAGCCATCACCTCAGCCTTTAATCATCTGAAGAAGCTCCCCGCAGCATCACCTCTCTCCCTCTATTGCTCTCTCTCACCTCCAACTGACTGGTTGCTTCCGTCTTTCTCTCCACTCCCATTGGCCAGTTTCCCCTGTCGCAGTGTCGCAGACACCGGCACTCGTTAATTATGCGCTCTCAGATCTCCTGATGAATTTAATCTTGTAAATTACGAGCTCACGACCTCGAGAATGCAAATCCAACCTGGAGTGCTTGCCGGGAGTCCAACAATGCGGACCCTTTCTGCCTATTCGCAAATGAGTTCTCTGAGAAATCTGAATATCATTAGACTAAATTAGCCTAACGAACACAGCAGAACAGAAGGATAAACGGTCTGCCACTCCAGATCAAAAATGACTTCATAAATTAGCCTGCTGCGGGCCGAGGCGGGGGTTATTACTCTCCTGGCTTTTCTTCTGTTCGTGAAGGCCGCTGGGCTCTTTTGGTGACGTCACAAAATGACGTCTTATACAAACATGACTCAGCAAAAACTACAAAAGCACTGTGATTCTAACAGAGAAAAACTCTCCCTTCTACATCCATTTACTGGCCAACTAATTAGAAACATCTGCTTTGTACTTTGTACCATTTACTAGGCAGTACTAAAAATCTGTTCCAACATCTAGACCTCTACTGTACAGTTTGTCTACCCCACTTATCCTTGGTCAGTTCCTGAATACAGGACCATGGTTGTTAAATGTGTGGAGGACCATTCTCAGAAGTCAGCAGTGACACTAACATGGTAGACGCAGGGCAGTGCAGGTGGAGCTGGTACGAGTGTACAGCAGGTGCAGCGGTTTTGAGGTTAAGAGTGGTCCACCACCCACAGAGATGCTCTGTGGTCAGAAACACTGGTGAAGATGGCACAAGCTGTACATCTACAAATGGGCTCTAACTGTATGCCAGCAAGGTGGAGCGACAAGGTGTTTCCAATAAAGTGGCCAGTGAGTAATTTAGATAGAAAGGATTCACAATTATCATATTTATTTATTTATTTATTTAGTTATTTAGTTATTATGCCGCTCGCTGGTGTGTGGCATTCTGCATGTTCACTGTTACTTCTGCTGACTCATACTTGGTGGCTGATTTCTGGCATATAGGCAGTGAGTGATGTAAGTGCTTGGTAGTTGTCGAAGCTAATAAATCACAACCAAAAGACCAGCGCGAAATAGATTTTACTGGAAAGTTTTGTCCAGCAGTGACAAACGCCGTCGGCCAAAATGTTTCTCCTTTCATCTTCTCGAATAAAGAAAAAATCCGTTAAATGCGGACCTTTGATATTGAATTCATGAATAGGACGCTTTTATGGAGGACATGCCTTCCTGTGAAATTGCCCTGCTGTCCTGTAGAATGAAAGACGACTGCCTTGCTCTTCCTTACCGTTGACTGGGTTGGAACTCTGAAGGATAGAGGACCATTGGTTAATGTCACCAGACAGCAGTTTGAGGTTGGAGAGGAGGGTGGAGTCAGCCAGGAGAGACTGCACCTCAATCAGAGCCTTTGCGAGACTAAATAAGAATAAATGACAAAATAACAAACAAAACATATTCAACAACAAAGGATGTTACCAAGTATACAATAAATGCTTGAGATCCAGTTTCGTAATATTTAAGATTTGTCTCTTTTCTCGAAGAAGAACTGCAGAACAGAACTGCTTCTCTTGCAGCGCTCTGAATGACTGTTTTCCTGTCTGTGTGTGTGGATATCCACTCAAGGAAGTACCTATTTTCTCTATATAACAATGAAGATAATTATAAGACGCCATACGCTCAACACCAGTGGCAAGAAAAGAAGAAGAGCTCCTTGAATGACATATATTTTATAAGTTAGCTTCATCAAGACCATTTAAAAGAAAAGGAGGTAAGCACTATCGCACAAGCTTAGCCTCTGGCTTATGTTATCTGGTTAAATTGAAGCTCTCTCTTGTCATAATCCTCTGAGTTTCATCCCTGATCTAACATCAAAACTTTCTGTGAATAACATTAAAGAGGAGAAAAAGAAAACCCTGCTACTCACATCGAGTTGTTGAAGTTGTTGACCTGTCCAGGTGTTTCTCCCGGCGTCGGCTGACTGACGCATGGGTTCTGGATGTTGCATACCATGCCCTGTAACCATGGCAACACTCCTGCTGAGGGCATTGGCTTGTTGGGGTAATGGCCTGCGTCAGGAGGGAGAGACACTGGCTTTTGAGGAATGTACATTATCCTTCAAAAGTAGGAAATCCATATTTGCAATTATTGACTTAAATAATATAAAACCAATTTGGTTGGTGGTTTAAATACATGTATAAAATGAATCTTAAATTCTTGTCCTGTACAACTTCATGGCTTTAGTAGGACACTAGCAAAGAGCACACAAGATCATTGACGTGAGGCACCAAACGCTATTTGAGTGCTGATAGTGCCCCCCCTTGTGGAAAATATCCAGCCTGCTAAACATGAGTGAGTGAGTTACAAGCCAGTTTCATGAAAGGCTTCACATCTTAAAATTATGAAATGTTAGATGTGTCCAGCATAACGAACAGAGCCACAGAAGACTCTAAAATCACTGTGACAGCTGTACAGCATTGAGAATGAAGTCTTAGTAAAATTCATATCCAGAACTTTTCATATTCCAAAAGTGGAGATCCAATATTGAGGCAGATAACTTGGCAAAAATGTACACAGATAATTACAGTATAATGTTTAACATTTTATTCACTTTATTGTTTACAGATTTTTTAAACATTGAACAAAAAAAAATACTAAATACTAAAATACTTTCGGTGATGAGTTTGTAATAATTATTGTACATAAAATTTTAAAAATTGTTGTGGCAAGTGATTCTATACTGTTAAAAAATATAGAAAAAGATTTCTGAAGGTGACAGTTTAAAAAAATTAACTCAGTTTTGTCTTTAAGCTAAAGGTAGGTGACTGGCTTAGGAGGAGACTTGTTTCCTGTTTGAAGTTACTGCTTTAGTTTTCGCTAATGATCAGCGTACCTACAGTAGTGTTAAAAAGTTTAAACAACCCCAGTCAAATGAACATGTTTTGTTTATTTTCTAAATGAAAATAAGTTAACACATTCTCTACAGTCAACAAATGTTTTTCTCCTTTATTTTGTTGAGTTTAATATATTAGAAAAAAAACATACAGTGCAAAATATGCCATAACTTCTGCACATGCCACATTCTATCATTCATTTCTTTAATTCAGCAAATAAACAGTAACTGTGCTTTAAAATGTGCAGAAGTGTGTTCTCTGTAGAGGATGTTTTAACTGAAATGTAACCAGGGGCTCCCAACGTTTTGCATACAATTGGATATTACACACTTGCCTAAAACCATTTCAAGTTGTTAAGTAATCTGAAATGAACAAAAGCAGGTAACTTCAGACACCAATCGTGTCTCGGCTGATCAACTACATTTGAGGTAAAGGAGAAAATGAAGTCCATTAGATTTTTTGGCCAATACCATTGCTTTAAGAGCACTGATGAGTTTACACAGAGAACAGATGTATCAAAGAGTCTAACTCCACCTGCTATCTCTCTGGGTTTTCTCTGCTTTTGTATTTTTTGTTAATCGGCTACAATGAATTGTAAGTAATCTTTTTTCAAACATCCTGTGCTCTGTGAGAACCAAAAGCACTATGTAAAAGAGGTTTTCACTGTTATTAGAAGCAGACAGAAGCTGAGCTCTACTTACACTGGCCTTTGTAGGTGGGCTGGTTGGTAGATCTCACCCAGACCAAAATGAAGAAAAGAAACAGCGGCCACACCAGCTCAATTACCAACCGCAGCTACGAGAGAGAGAAAGAAAGAGAGAGAGACAGACAGATTAATGGAGTTCTCATTTTTTGCACACCCCCAGTAAACAGCACCACACTGTTCTCTCTGAAATAGCTACAAATGCCCTTAAAAATGACAAGAGGAAAAAAGTTGTTCTGGGACAGCCATTCCAAGCTAGATGGCAGGCACCATTATAGTACATTCCATCTCTGCATTGTGTCCCTTCATCTTTTTCTTCTACTGCTACACCTGCCGCAAGCACTCTAGAGATTTTTAGACCAAAGGCCCTTTACCAATGTACCAAGGACCCAGACCAAAGAAGGACAATACTGCAACTTGCTTTTGCTGAATAAAGAGATGTTTAAAGGGCCCCAGCATAGAAACGTTTGGTGCAGTATGTAGGCGCTATTATGTTTCAAAAACGTGCTGATCACCCTCGAGTCCACACAAACCATATATGGGAACAAAAATGCAATAACAAGTCATTTTAAATATACCTTATCATCATTAATCATCGTTGTGATGTCACGAGCATGTACAAATTTACTTATGACCACTCATTCTGCAGTTTAGCGTCGCACATTCACAAATTAATAGATAGATAGATAGATAGACGGAGGGGTAGATAATCAGTGTACACTCTACATTCACTGTCCCCTTTCACCCTGTTCTTCCATGTTTAGGACCCCCACAGGACCCAGAGAGCAGGTATTATTTAGGTGGTGGATCATTCTCAGCACTGCAGTAACAATGATGTGGTGGTGGTGTTAGTGTGTGTTGCGCTGGTCTGAGTGGATCAGACACAGCAGTGCTGCTGGAGTTTTTAAACACCTCAGTGTCACTGCTGGACTGAGAATAGTCCACCAATCAAAAATATCCAGCCAACAGCGTCCTGTGGGCAGCGTCCTGTGACCACTGATGAAGGACTAGAGGATGACCAACACAAACTGTGCAGCAGCAGATGAGCTATCGTCTCTGACTTTACATCTACAAGGTGGACTGACAAGGTAGGAGTGTCTAATAGCGTGGACAGTGAGTGTGTCTGATCCACTCATACCAGCACAACACACACTAACCACTATATGTCAGTGTCACTGCAGTGCTGAGAATGATCCACCAACCAAATAATACTGGCTCTGTGGTGGTCCTGACCACTTAAGAACAGGGTAAAAGGGGGCTAACAAAGTATGCAGAGAAACAGATGGACTACAGTCTGTAATTGTAGAACTACAAAGTGCACCTATATAGTAAGTGGAGCTGATAAAATAGACAATGAGCATAGATACAAAGTAGGTATAGTTAATGTGGCTGTCTATTATGAATATTATGAACTATTATGAATTTTGGTACATAAAACCACACAAACATTTTAAGTGAAAAAAAAGCCACGAGCCGAGCATATTACATTATGCACTTCTCTACCAATTAGACCCCTCCGCAACATCTTCCATTTGACAGTGATTATGGTACCTTCACTTGTAATCATTACCTCCAGAACACTGGCCTGGACTGCAGAACTCAATGAGAAAATAACATTCCTTAAACTTTTACCAGCTACAGCAATTAATCTCTATAAAAAGTCCAGTCTAATAATAAAACAGTCCAGTCTAATAAGGTTTGCCACATTCGTAACAGACAATCTAGGACCTGAACACCTGCAAATGCACTTCGCAACCATGATTAAGCTGCTACACGAGACCTTACACCTCTGAAACGTTCCTTGCAATCAGAGCCGAAGCTTTAATTGGTAAACAAGCGGCAGCGTTAAATGATCTGGCAATGATCTAGCGATCAGTGTTTGCTGCAATAGACCCCTCTAGGGGCCCAACAAGAGTGCAGGCGGCTTGGAACACTCAGCTTCCCAACATAGGGCTTATTATTTATGTGGCGGGTGATGCTGTGGATAAACAGCCTGCGGGAGATCTTCCTCGGGGTTTAACCCTTTAGTGGTGAGGCAAAAAAAGCCTTTTTTCTGTCCTCTTAATCAACTTTTCCTCTGTAATAAAATGATTTCTCAGGATGTTGCATTTACTTTGACATGAAGAACTCGATCTAATAGATTTTTGATTTGCTTGTGTCAAGCAAGCAAATACATGAATAGGAACATACTCGACCCTGAAGCAAATCGATAAAAAGGCCTGTTTCACACATAAGACTGGATATCTTTAATTTTTTGAGATGTGGATACTGATAGAATATCTTAAATTCAATACAGATGCCTAAACTATACTTTTTTACAATACTTCTTTTGAATTACAGACTGAAAGTGGGTGTGTTTTAAAGCAGAAATGAGTGTGAGGTGCTGGAAATGGGTGTATGAATGTATGGATTATAGATCAATCAAGAAACACAGGTGTTAATAACATAATAAATGTGTTGCTGGCATCAAATTCATAATGGGCCATAAAAAAAAACATACAATTTCTCAGTTTCAATCAAGTTTTTATTTATTTTTGGAAATAGGGTTGTATATTGTACCTACCCTGTGTGTGTGTGTGTCGCTGCTGTCGGATCAAAACCTTGTATCTCCATTTTTAATCTACCTAGCAAACTGCAAACTATACTACTAAAATCTCTCTGCACACTAGCCACTTTATGTTGGTGAGGATTTGATTGCAATCTGCCACAAAAGCATTAGTGAGGTCAGGTATGGATGTTGGATGATTTAGTTCTGGATCGCAAAGTACTTGTTCACCAAAACGAGCTGGCTTTGGAACATATTTGTTTACCACAGTTTTCTAATATGGATACATTTGGACTTTTAGTGTGTGTGTGTGTGTGTATGTATATATATGAATGATGGTTCTTCAGGGGTCCTTTAATGACTATATAGAACAAAGAACCATTTTCTTTGCACAGTGGTTCTGTATATGGTGAAATGATTCGTTAGACTGATGGAGAATGTGTTGTATATCGCTGCTATCAGAAGAAAACTTAGTATCTCCATTTTTGTTGTTTTTCAGTTTTTGACATAATTTGAAAATGCCTACTGTCATTTATATTGTGTGTAAATCTCATGATGAACGGACCAAAAGAAACGGCCTTAAATTACTTGGAAAAAAGTCTGGTTCCATTGAGCTACATTGAAAGGTTTTTTCCTTCTCCTGTAAAGTGACCATTCTTGGAGATACGAGGTTTTGGTCCGACAGCAGCGATATATTAGTTTTTCACCATCTAACAATTTCAGATGCTTACATACAGTATTTCTGTAGGTTAACTGTGGCTATTCTAGGAAAAGTGGCTTATTATTCTAGGTTATGCCATATTTGACATCTCTCCAGTCCCCTATCATCTCTCCACCCCCCCACCCCGACCCCACACTGCTGAAACTCCCCACCACCCCTTTGCCACCCTTGATAACATTTTTTAGATCCCCCACTCTGTTTGTCATCTAAATTTCTCAAGTTATTTGACTTTTATGCAACTCACTACACAGCAGGAGGTTATCGAGGGACTGCTGCGCTTTCATTTTTACTTGAAACACGGGTCAAAAGGCATCATCTCTGACTACAGTTAGCATGTTTTGTACTGTTTGTCAATGCAGTATTTGTTGCTTATTCATGACATACCCGTATAAAGTTTATGACAGAATTCAAATTTCAACTGGAATACTGGATAAACTGGTATATCGCCCACTACTAGCACAGTGATTCTTTTACATAGTGATATGATATGGCGGCACACAAAACTATTTTACTAACCAACGTGGACGTGCATGCTCACCAACTACTCTGGGATTGGATTTTACAAAGGCAAAATGGGTCATTATGGGTCAATGTCGCACCAAAATTCTTTTTCAAATAAAAATGAAAGAAAATGACCTGTCGGGATTCACAACATTTCATTTCAGTTCATTTCTGTGCAAACGAGCAATCAGTGGCTCAGTAATTGGTCAGAATATTTTCAGAACCGCTCCAGCAAAATTGTGCACTTTTGCCCACGAACACAAAATCCAACTAAAAACCTGCAGGTGCAGTGTATTAAATGTGAATGTCTGCAGTATCTTATTCTACACTCTTAAAGACACTCCTCCTTTAGCAAAGGCAACAGTTCTGCACAGAACCATGAACAAAACTCTTTGCATGCTTAAACGGTTCTTTACATGGTAAAATGATTCTTCAGATTGATGGAGATTATGTTGAATATGGTTCTATATAAGGGGTTCCAATGTAGAACAATAACTTATATAAAATAAAAATAACAGTGTTTCCAGTATATTAATGTACAGTGGAACACAGTACGGTAGACATGGCATTTTTATGGAAACTCCAGGCTATTACCCCTGAAGACTTTTGACCCATTTCTCTTCCATTGTTTCAGTTGTTTAATGTGCACTTGCGACCATGCTTTGTTAGGGGAAACGTGAACCTGAGGAGGAACTGAATTAGGTGTATTTGAGTGCATATTTTCGAGATGTACCCTCTACTGCCCTATAAATTCTGTTCGGAAGTGTTTCCATACGGAGCTTTTTAGACTGCTCTAAGCGCAGATCTCTCTCTCTGAGTCAGGTTGTGAACTCTCTGCCATCATTACCACACAGCTGTTGAGATATTCGCTCGTTTCACTTTAAATCATAAAAGTTTGTGACTCCTGACTGTTGTGCAGTGCATTCAGTGCAGCAGTCCTGAGTCATGCGAGAGCTCGCGAGGCAGACAGTCGTGGTAATGCTGCTTTTTTTCTAATACTAATTTTCACAACCGAATGACTTTTTTCCCAATTCAACTATATAATCGAATTTAGAATATTTGTTGACAGCCCTCTCACTCAAAGTTAAGTTAATATTTACGGGATAGTTTAGACTGACAGATCACATTGGAACATACTTTTTGGCCAGAATCGACTCTGATACTGATACTGAGTATCGAATCGACGTACCCCTAGTTTTATATCGAACCTTTTGAAAATGGCTCTAAATAGCACTAAAAAGGGTTCTCTTATTGTTTTAGTGTCAAGCTTGTAACAACAGATGAACCCATTTTGGTGTTATGGTTCTATATAGAAGATTTTCTAA